ATATATATATATATATATATATATATATAAAGTAGGCATATAATTATATCGGCAAGCCCTGCATTATCGGTCCTGCATTATCGGCCACGCGCGCCTTACGGGCAAACAACCCGTCGTACTGATCTGTATGTTGATGCAACACCCTGTATATATGTATATATAAATACAACTATGCCCGTGATGTATAACGCGCATATTTATTCGACATAACATCATCTGTTTAATTTGGTCAATGCAGGACAAAGCAGGATGGCGTTAGGTGTTGATAACACTATTTACAATGCAAGAGTAATTATTTCTAGACATTCGGGATAAAAATTATGAATGAACATGAACGTATAAAAATGTGACAATTTTCAGTAGTATCTTCTTCTTATTAACCACTTCGCTGGTAGACGCGTGTTTTTGTTCAACGAGTAGCAAACGCATATTATTGTGCACTTTTGTTTCCGAAAGAGTTCACCTTACCACTGTGATCAAAAAGTATTGAAAATGATTTAATTTCACTTAAATTGCGCGCATGTAAGATGGCGTTGTTATCTATTTTCCCCAGGTTGGTACTTGTAGCTACAATCTATATATCAGTGCCTATTTTCGTTTACAAATAAACGCTTATTTTTTATTGTGTGTAAAGAATTTTTGCTCCGACGATTTTCTAAAATATCGAATATAATTAAGCAAAGAATATGCATTAAATTTTATTTTTGCAAAGGAATTACTGCTACAAAAATAGTGGAAATATTGCAAAAGTTCGTTGATGACAATACTCTATAAAAAAAACAAGAGTTTTTGAGTGGAACAAGATGTTCAAAGAAGGTAGAGAATGCGTCGAAGATGAACCACGCTTAAATAGATAGTCCACTTCAACTGATGAGCAACACGTCACTCACATTAAAGATTTGGTGCTCAGTAATCGTCGTTTAACAACGGACATTATTGAAGATGTTCCAGTATCATTTGTATATTTTTAAGCAATTTAAAAAAAATCATTTCTGCTTGCGGCACGTCGCTTCTGGAGTCGTTCCGAAAACGAATTTTTCTATAAACTTCAACGTGTTCAAGTGACCGCGGAAATGCTTTCTGGAGGCGAATCGTTCTTAAAACGCATCATTACGGATGATGAAACATGGATATACGCTTTTGATACCGAAACAGCTCAACAGTTTAATGAATGGCGCTCGAAAGGTGAAGCAATATCGAAAAGACCACGTCAAAGTCAATAAAAAATCAAAGTAATGTCGACTGTTTTCTTGGATTGACGTGATGTTGTGCATCATGAATTTCTTTCAACTGACCAAACTGTCAACAAAAAATATTATTTGAGCCTTTTGTGTTGTTTGCATAAAATATTTAATAAGAAACGATCTAATTTGTGACGAAATAACTCATTGCATTGGGTTTTGCACCATGATAATGCACCTGTTCACAATGCTCTTGTTGTTCGTAAATTTTTGGCCAAAAATTCAACAAATATGGTTTCACAAATTTCGTATTCACCTTATATGGCACGGTGTGATTTTTTCCCGTTTCCTCGATTAAAATTTCCGCTTCGTGGTTACTGTTTTCAGACAATTAATGCTATAAAAAAAATTCGCTACGAGTTCTAAAAGAGTTTCACGAAAACGATTTTAAAGCATGTTTCGAGGATTGGAAGAAACATTGACATAAGTATATTGTAATGGGAGGAGATTACTTTGAAGTGAACGAAATAAATTTTGATGAATAAATCCAAATCATGTTTTATTGAATCATTTCCGATACTTTCTGATCACAGTGGTATTATATTACTGAAGTTGAAAAGTCACTTTATTTTCGATATCAAGGAATTTTATCAAACTTAAGTAATTTTTAATCTTCTATGCGCTGTTTTTATTTAATATGCACCTTACTCACATAGCACGTAATATTACAGTAATATCACAGTAATATCACATTTTCATTACAATATTACAATGAAATATAGCAGAAATATTACTGAGATAATATTATTGAGATGTTATAGTAATATTACAATTTTCGTGAAAACACATCACAGTAATATTACTATCCATATAGAACAAACATCCAAAATACATCCGCTGCGCCTAGTCTGCTAACTTAATTTAACCTAAAAAATTTTCCCAATATTAAGAATATTTTGACTGAGATTATCGAATTCAGTAAGTATAATAGAAAATGAAAAGAGGTGAATCAAACGCGCGCGCGATCCCTGTGAGCAAGGCCCGATTGCACACAGCCCGATTGGACACGGAGTGCAATGATTGGTTAGATCTAGTTGGATTTAATAATTTACTAGATAACGTAGAGCACCGATTGGTGGTGTGCAATCAGATCCGTGTGCAATTGGGACACTCCCATTCCTGTGCTTCGTTCGAAATATATATTCTTCTTTCAGTATAGTTTACGATTCCGACTGAAAACAAAACTGGTTTATAGTTTATAAATTAGAATCGGAAATATGATTTCCGATTCTAATTTAATGTGGACTCTTGATTATTAAATAATATTAAAGAACTATGACAATACAATTAGGAATTTTGTAAAAAAGATTAAAATATTTATATATTTTTCAGGGTAGAACGTCGTTGCACGTAAGCGCTTGGCAAGGACATATGGAAATGGTAGCATTGTTGTTAACAGAAGGAGGTGCTACTGTAAATGCTTGTGACAATGAAAATAGAACACCACTTCATTCGGCTGCTTGGCAAGGACATGCAGCAATCGTTAGATTACTTTTAGAAAATGGTGCTACTCCTGAACATACTTGCAATCAAGGCGCAACAGCTCTAGGTATGTTATAATTATATAAGAAAATAATAAATTTTAATCGATATATACAGGATATCGATATTGATATCGATAAATAAAAGCACGCATGCACACGGATATCAAGAGATACGACAGTGTCACGCACCAAGTGTAATGCGAGGCCAATATTGACAGATTAGGGGATTTTTCGCTAAATCTAGGGGTTCGACTCGCGACTCTAGAAAATTTTGGCGATCCTTTGATGAGGAGGTACGGTCTTGATGAGAAGGTACCGCACCTGGTGCACAACATCTCTTGTTAGTGCCACAGTCACGTTTCGGGAACCACGGTAATTTGCCGACGCGGCGGACAGACAACTATCCGTCTGAGAAATTAGAGAAAGAGTCGCAATATGTATTAATATAGATCGTACATATATAGCTCTTTTTCTTTTTACTCATTTCCGCTCTCAAAGTCATAATCCGCTGCGCGGCGTGGCTTGCGGATGCTCATATATCGAGTCGCAGCGGTCGTTTTAATGTCATAGTAAAAAATATAATCTAACGTTTAACGATGCAACATTATTCGTATTTGGTCCAATTTTGAATAAATTTTTAAGTTTTTGAAACATAACTTAATACAGTAATTCTATAATGACGAGAATAACAATTTTTTCCATTATACAAGATGTCCGGCATAAGATGTCCAAGAAAAAAAATATAAGTAGAACAGATAAAAGTGTAAAATATGGTCGAAGTCATTTTTTTGAACAACCACATAAAATTTCGAGTTATTAAATAAAATAGATAGGCCAATCAGAGCTGCACGTCGCGGCAGACGGGACATACGACTCGCCGCGGCCGGCGAAGGAAATGGACGATTGCTCGCGGGTCTATTTCATAGGCCTAGAGGCCCTGATGACTGCGTTTTAGATTTGACACCCTCCTTGTACCTGGTGTCCAACATTAGTGAGCCAACTAGAACCGCGAATCCGTCGATAGAATAGAATAATTTAATGTTTGTCAATCCCCGATCCATGAGTCGATTGTGCGGAAAAGGGTGTTGCAATATATATCCATAAAGTAACACTTGCAGTCGATTAAACAAATTTGTAGGTTATTCCGTGCACTTTTCTTTTGATCTAACAATCAATAATTTGTCTTAAATTAACGTAATATACAATTAACCTTCTTAATCTATTTCTTCGCCAATTTCTATTTAAGTTAATTAACTTTAAATTATTGATTGTTAGAGAAAAAGGGAAGGGCACGGAATATTTTACAAATTTGTTTAATCAATTGCAAATGTTATTTTATAAATATATCTTTTTATTTTAACATATTTCGCAAAAACTTTTAGTATGCATTTTTTCACTTCTAACACAATTAAAAAGAGACAATGCAAGAGGCCAGGGGCCTTCAAGTATATTATAATTGTCAGTTCTAAAAATAAATAAAATAAAATAAACAGATAAAAAATTAACATCCTAATTTGTTCTATTGTCAACAATAAAACCAGTGTCGTAATATAAATTCTCTCTTTTTTTTTTTTTTG